ATACTCACACATATGTGAAAATTAACTCAAGTTCAATCACAAGTCTAAATGTAAAACCTAAAGCTATAACACTTCTAGAAGAAAACATAGGAGAAAATCTTTGTGACCTTGGGTTAGGCAAAGATTTTTTAGATACAACACCAAAAAGCATGATCCATAAAAGAAAAAATTGACGCACTGAACTTCATCAAAATGTCAAACTTCTGCTCTGTGAAAGACATTGTTTTTTCCCCTTTTTCAGTGCAGTAAGCTAAGAAGACCTTTTTAAGAGAATGAAAAGACAAGTCACACACTGGGAGAAGATATCTGTAAATCACACAGTTGACGAAGGATTTATTTCTAGAATATATGAAGAGCTCTCAAAACTCAATAAAAATAGACGAAATATTTGAACAGAAATTTCACCAAAGAAGATAAATGGATGGCAAATTAGCACACAAAAAGATGCTCAAAGTCATTAGTTATCAGGGAGATACAAATTAAAGCTATAATTTTGGTGCAGTTTATACAATTATTAGAATGGTTAAAATGAAAAAGGCTGATAGTAGCGAGTGTCAGTGGAGGAACTGGAATTCTCCTACATGGCTGGTGGCAATGCAAAATGTTATGACCACTTTGGAAAGCATAAGCAGATACCTACCACATGGCCCAGATGTTCCACTCCGAGGTATTTACCCAAGAGAAGTGATAGCACACAAAGACTTGTACATGAGTATTCATAGCAGCTCAATTTGTAATAGCCCCAGACTGGAGAGAACCCAAATGCCCATCGACTGGTGAATGAGGATGGGAGTGAGGCAGGATTACAAAGGGGCAGAAGAAAACTTTTAGGGGTGATGGATATATTCATTATCTTGATTGTGGTGACTGTTTCACAGGTATATACATAATACAAAACTTATCCAATAGTATAATCTAAACACATGCAATTTATTGAATGCCAATTATTCTTTTTTTTTTTTTTTTTTTTTTTTTGAGACAGTTTTACTCTTGTTGTCCAGGCTGGAGTGCAGTGGTGCGGTCTTGGCTCACTGCAACCTCCACCTCCCGGTTTCAAGTGATTCTCCTGCCTCAGCCTCCTGAATAACTGGGATTACCGGCATGAACCACCATGCCCTGCTAATTTTTTATTTTTAGTGGAGACGGGATTTCACCATGTCGGCCAGGCTGCTCTCAAACTCCTGACCTCAGGTGATCCGCCCGCCTCAGTCTCCCAAAGTGCTGGGATTACAGGCGTGACCTAATGTGCTCATCCCCAGTTATACCTTAATAAAGCTGTTAAAAATAGTAATTAACAATGATGTCCAGTTTGTTGGGAAAAAAAAGAAAGAGAAAGGACAGAATTAAAAACTGGAAGACAATGGTCTGCAAGATAGGAGGGAGTGATGGGAGTTAAAGGGTTTGGGAATCCTATATTATTCAAGGAAAAATTAAGGATTGTGAGGATATTAACTGTAGTCTTTGTTGAAAATCTATGTATAATACAAAGTTCAAGATTCAAAATAGAGGCTATAACCTCCAAACTGTAGAAGGAGAAAGAATGGCATAAGAAAACAAAACTAGAACTTAGTCAATCCAGAAAAAGGCAAAAAAGACAATAAGGAAAGGGCCACTGGTTTTGTCTCCTGTCCCAGCCCGTGTGTCATTGCAGATGGGCAGATCTGCTGCTCTGCATCAGACCCAGGGCCTCGGCACTCACATCCAGTCCCATGGTGCCATCCCAGCTGTCAGCCTGAGGTGCTTGCCTGCCACACCTTGAAGTGATACTGGCAGAGAGCTCTTCCCTGCTCCTGGGTAGATTCCCCCAAAGCACATCACAGCCCCTTGCGTGTCTTAGGCGCTTTCCACCTTCTCTGTTTCTGTTTTCTTTCCCCCTAGATGCACCTCCCTCGCCTACTTCCTGGATGAATTTACAAATTTCTCCTTAATAGACCTCAAGGGATTAGAATCATAATATCCAATTATTTGTTAAGAGTAGGGAGGGGGAAAGAGGCCTTAAATAATCCATTTTGGTGTTAAAATGTTTCTTTTTGTCCGGGTGCGGTGGCTCACACCTGTAATCGCAGAACTCTGGGAGGCCGAGGTGGGTGGATCACCTGATGTCAAGAGTTTGAGACCAGCGTGGTCAACATGGTGAAACCTTGTCTCTACTAAAAATACAAAAATTACCCGGGCATGGTGGTGCACACCTGTAGTCCCAGCTACTTCGGAGGCAGGAGAATAGCTTGAACCCAGGAGGTGGAAGTTGCAGTGAGCGAGATTGTGCCATTGTACCCCAGCCTGGGCGACACAGCAAAAACTCCATCTCAAAAAAAAAAAAAAAAAAAAAGTTTCTTTTAAGGAAATAGCTGGACTGGTAAATGATAGTTTATTATTTTTGTTGTATTTACTGTCCTAATTTGGCAAAACTAAATGTTTGCAATTCTTCAATGTTCCTCCATTTTTTTCTGAAGTTTCACCTCCCAGGAAAAGTCTCCAAACTGGAAACTCTCATTCTCAGGATAGGTGAGCGGTGACTTTTTGCTTCTTTTTGTTTAAGGGGGAATGAATAGAATCTCACGTAAATACCAAAGACTGCAGCTCCGAGTATTCGAGTACAAACATAAAACCAAGGTGTATCAAAATGGGGGTTTGCAAAGTGGCAACTGGTAAGGGAGTGGTCTTTCTCCCCTACCTGTCAGGAGGGAGCTGGGACCTCTTGGTGGTACTTTGAGAAGAAGACAGTGTCTCTGAGTAATATTTGCATGTCTCGTAAATCCACTGAAACTTGGAATTCCACGGATGGCAATCTTAGGTTGTCCGGGAGAGAACTCTGCCTCTCAGACGATGTCAATTTATTTAGCCTAGTCTGCGAATGGGCAAGGGATGGGAGTGGGATGGCCCAGCTGACCGCCTCCTGGTTCCCAGGAAGCCCTGGCTCCAGTGGAGAGATTCAGAGGACAGGAGGATTCTTTCCTTCCAGGGAAACCCCAGCCAAGGGATTTTTCATGGGGGAAGCTTGCTTTTGATGCCCTTCTAGGGTGCATTCTGACAGTGTGTGTGCCCAGGTCCCAGCAGAAGATTTGGGACCATCTGAAACTTGCTGCCTCCTATGTCCCAAACACCTTGGTACACACAGGGCCCGGAGCCTGGGTGCAGCACACAGAGCTCGGGCCTGGGAGCTCACTCTCCACCAGGAGAAGGTATTTGGTGCAACCCCAGTGCAGGGGCCTCGGGCACAGGCTGGCACCTTCTGGTGAGCTGTTCTTGCTTCATCAGACCAGTTCTACCTCCACCCAGTACCCCAGGCCCTTGAGGTTCTGACCACAGGGCCATTATTGAACTGTTTCTCCTGCCTTTCCAGAAGGGACAGGTACAGAGGACTTCAAGAAACATTGATTGCAGGGGTCTGGCGGGAGTGACATTGGTGCTGCCACTCCAGAAAGCTGTTTAGCAAGAGGTGTCAGTCACTTCAAAAATGTTCACTCCCTATGACCTGGCACTACCACGCATGCAAATCCTTTTAAGAAATCTCCCAGCCGGGTGCAATGTCTCATGCCTGTAATTCCAGCACTTTGGGAGGCCGAGGCAGGCGGATCACTTGAAGTCAGGAGTTCAAGACCTGGCCAACATGGTGAAATCCCGTCTCTACTAAAAATTCAAAAATTAGCGGGGCATGGAGGTAGATGCCTGTAGTCCCAGGTACTTGGGAGGTTGAGGCAGGAGAATGGCTTGAGCCAGGGAGATGAAGGTTGCAGTGAGCTGAGATCGCGTCACTCAACTCCAGCCTGGGCGACAGAGCAACACTCTGTCTCAAAAAAAAAAAAAAAAAGAAAGAAAAAGAGAAAGAAATCTCCCAATGCAGATAAAGCCCCAGGCAAATATTCACCCACACTTATCTACAATAGCGAAAATGGAAGCAAATTAAAATATCGAGTGATAAAGAATTGGTTAAATAAACTGAGACACACTGATAGGATGGAATACGCAGCTGATGAACATTTTATTTATAAAAAGTTCTGTAAAACACAGAGAAGTGCTGGAATAAAGTGATGGAACAATAAAGTGGAAAAGGCAGGATACAAAGTTGTATATACAAGATAATTGCTCTGTAAAAAGAACACCAGCAAATTATGTGGAGAAAAAAGAGTGGAAGGAAATACAACAAAATGAAATAATGATAGTCTCTGGTGAGACAATGGGTGACATGTTTTCTTCCTTTTCTTTTTCCTCTCCATCTTTGCAAGTTTTGCATACCGAATAACTCTTAATTTCACTTTTTAAAGAAATAAGGCCAGGCGCGGTGGCTCACGCTTGTAATCCCAGTAATTTGGGAGACTGAAGCAGGAGGATCATATGAGGTCAGGAGTTCGAGACCAGCCTGGCCAACATGGTGAAACCCTGTCTCTACTAAAAATACAAAAATTAGCCAGGTGTGGTGGTGCGTGCCTGTAATCCCAGCTACTCGGGAGGCTGAGGCAGGAGAATCGCTTGAACGTGGGAGGCGGAGGTTGCAGATCGTGCCACTGCACTCCAGCCTGGGTGGCAGAGCGAGATTCTGTCTTAAAAAACAATAATAATAGAAAAAGAAAAAAAAACAGTAGTTGTGCTACTTTACCCCTACTCCCTGACCCCTCCTCCAGGGGGCTGGACTCGGAGTCACCTTCAGGTATCCGCCCTGTTCCTACTCTCCTCCGTATTAGACACCCACATGCACTCTGGTTTCCTACTCTTCTCTCTAGCCACCAGAGCCCATAGGCAAGTAACCCTTTCTAGACAAGGAAGGAGCCAAGGTTTTCTTCATCATTTTTCCAAAGGCAAGAAGGCATGGCCAGGGAGGGTGAATGGAAAGCAACCACTCTCTGCTGGTCCTGGGCTTATCCCTGCAATGTGCACCTGACCTGATCCAGGCTTGGACTTAGGCAGGCCTCAGGGGAGTGCCCAGCTGGGTCATGGTGTCATGGACAGAGCAGATCTTATGGGGGCAGGTGGGAGACGTCACAGCCCAAATGCAGACTCTAAGCTGGAGGGGTCTGAGCGTTCATCAGGCCCGCTGGTCCTCAAACTCAAGTGCGACAGTCACTGGGCATTGTTAGAAATTCAGAGTCCTGCACCAAGTCCCAGAGATGGTTTTGGTGGGTCTTGGTTGGCCCAGGAGTCACATTTTTCACAGGCTTCCTGAAGGGCTGGGATGCAGGGAGTTCAAAGAGGAGCCAGAATCCCAGTCTCACCCCAGCATGCTCCTCGTCATCACCAGCTGATGCAGGAGACCATGGGACTGAGTCTGAGGACGCCAGGGAGGGAGGACAAGGTGGGGTCTGGAGCGGGAGGAAGGCAGGTCTGACACTGGGCATGAGGCCCAGGAGAGTGTGTGGCAGATAGAAACTCAGGACAGATCCACTGAGCCTTGCCTGGCCCTGCTGAGGGTCAGCAGCCTGGTGCCCTGCCTAGGGATGCGAACCTATCAGGGATGTCCCAGTCTCCAGCTGGAAGGGCAAGGCCACCGCTCTGGGCTTCGGGGCTGACAAACACTTCTTCTAGGTCAGGCTGGAGCATGCAGGAGGAGCCTGGGGAGGGCTGGGAGAGCCTGGAGTCCAGGCAGCTGGACTCTGAGGCTGAGGTGGAAAGCTTTCGCGAATCAGTGCTGATCCAGCCAGCCACACTGCTTCACGGCTGGCCTGGCCAGGAGGGCCTCCTGCCCTACACTGAGACAAACTTCGAGAAACCCAGCTCCTCCTCAGATGTGTGGAGGGGAGGCATCGAGATCACGTCCCCCTCGGGGGCCTGGGAAGGGGCTTCCTCTTCCTCTGTAGTCTGTAAAGACAACAGTGGGGTTTGGAGAGTAGAACCCAAATGAAGGGGTAGGGGGTGTGAGGAGTGGTCCCCAGGTAGCTGCTGTGTCCACCCAGCCTTTTCCACAAATTCCAGCCCTCCATCCACCTGCAGGGGCACACGACCTAACAACTTCTCCTCCCCAGAACTCCCAGGCTTTGATTCATGGCCTCTCATGACCCCAATCCATCCCTCCCCCGGGGTGCCCTCAAGGCTCCAGGCTGGGTTCTGGCACAGTTGTGGCCTCCTGCCAGCCCACAGGACTGTCAGCTGTGACTCCCAACAAGCTATTCAGGAATTTTCTGGACCGGAAAAAAGAGGATGTGAGGTCAAAAGCCCTGGCTTCCCTGGTGAAATGGGCTAGGGCTGTGGCTGTGATGGAGAAGGTGGGTGAATGCGGGGGTGTGGGGTTTGGGGAGCAGATGCTGAAGAAAAGGCCTTCTTCCACTTCCTCCAATTGTCAGAGTGGAGGCAGGCAAGGTGGCTCTGCAGGCCCTCCCTTCCCAGGGCCCTTCTGTCCATACCTGGCTTAGATACTGGATCTCTGTGTGGAGGCTGGGAGAGGGCTCAGGGATGGTGAGAGGCCCCATGGACCCTGCAATGTTGATCACGGCGTCCTCTGTGTCCCGGCCATTCCCCAGTGGCTGTAACAGAGACTTGGTCAGAACAGCCTGTTCTTGGCAGCAGGGATGGTCTACGAGCCCAGCCAAGCCCAAGCAAGGGGAGGGAAACGTGGGAGGGGTGGGCAAGGCAGGGAGGTGCTGGGAGGGGAGAATATTAAGCTCCTGCATGCCTCTGCCACTTCCTTCCTTCCTGCCTTGTCCAAAGAAGGACGAGCTGTCTCACCTCTCTGAAGCTCAGTTTCCTCAGCTGTAAAACTAGGTAAGAATTTGTCCTTTGGGATTATAATATTCATAATAGCATCCTACCACTCAACCAGTGAGAACTTCTGGAATGACTGATTTGTGTTCATTATTTTCTATCCTTTAAAGCAGAAAGATCATGCAAGCTGCAGGTTCTTTGTAACAGGCCAGGAGAAAGCAAAGTTGAACATGCCAAAGATGCATTGAATAACAAGGGGCACATGAGATAATGGGTCTGAGCAATCCATTATCTATCAGATGAGGAGACCACGGCCCAGGGAAGAGAGAGGTAGTCCAAGATCAGTGGGGAGGCCCATATTCTGACCCGGGCCTGGCTGTTCCCATGGGTCCTCAGATCAGGAACGCCAGGCCCATCCATCTCGGGCCTTGCCCTAGCAGGTGGGCAGAGCAGAGGCTGGAGCCGGCCAAGGTCCCCAGCCAAGACTCCCAAGGCCACAGGCTGCCCTGAGGTTTCCTGGACAGTGAATCCCATGGTCAAATGGGCACTGATGCTAGAGAAAGAAGCTCCCATTTTTTGGGCATCTATGGGGTATGTCATCTCACTCTTTTCTATTTACAACCATGTGAGCTATGGCAATAGGGGCTCAGAAAGGTAATGCAACCTGCTTGACATCACACAGCTGGCAAGTGGCTGAGCTGGGACTCATACCGGAGACTGTCTGACTGCAGACCCAAGCTCTTTCCCTGCTGCCATCCTGGCAGGGTGTGTGACACATTTCTCTTGGGCTTGGTGTTCGTGGTATACTAACCAGGCCCCAGCTTCACTCAATACCTAGCTTCTGGGGATGGGGGCAGAGGTAGATGTTTGAGCCATCTCTTGTTAGAAATGTCTAGATGAAGGCTGGGTGTGGTGGCTCTCGCCTGTAATCCCAACACTTTAGGAGGCTGAGGCTGGAGGACTGCTTGAGCCCAGCAATTTGAGACCAACCTGGGCAACATAGTGAGACCCTGTTTCTCTAAAACTTTAAAATAAAAAGATAAAAATATACTAAAGACACTCTGGTAGGCCAAGGCGGGCAGATCATGAGGTCAGGAGATTGAGACCAACCTGGCTAACACAGTGAAACCCCGTCTCTACTAAAAAATACAAAAAATTAGCTGGGCTTAGTGGCGGGTGCCTGTAGTCCCAGCTACTCAGGAGGCTGAGGCAGGAGAATGGCGTGAACATGGGAGGCAGAGCTTGCAGTGAGCCGAGATCACGCCACTGCACTCCAGCCTGGGCGACAGAGCAAGACTCTGTCTCAAACACAGAAAACAAAAAACAAACAAACAAACAAACAAAAACTAAAGAAAAGAAAGAAACACAGGATGACATCTTCAGCCTTCTGGAGACAAGGAGTAGAGCTGAGTTCCTTGGGGGAAATGTGGGTGGTGATGGGGGCACTGGGAGGGATAAGGCAACTCCCAAATGCTGCCACTCAGGGCTCTTGTCCCTCCTAGCCCTGCCCATGGTGAAGACAGAGGGGGCCTTGGTGCAGGGCAGACCTGGGGCTACTCCAGAGGACTCCTGACATCACACCCATGAGTCCATATTTACAGCTTTGCAGTCTGGTTATAACCCAGCCACTGCTGACCCTGGACCACCAGCAGCTACAGAAGTGTCACCTGTTCCTGGGTGACCGAGTTTGAGGAAAGAGCCTCTCAGTGCAGAGGCCAAACCACACACAGTAGTAGGCAGCAGCCAGGCCCACTACTGTAAGTCTGGTGTGATTCCATCTCTCCCCTGTCCCTCTGCCTCCGCTGTGGACGATCGACCCTGTTCCAGCAAGCACAGAGGCATTTTCTGGGTTGCTAAATATGCAAGATATATATCAGAGCCCCTGTTTCCAGGTACTAGTAATAAACGTAGTAAAGAAAGAGGGAAGTCTTGGGAAGCCGGGTTGAGTTCTGATGGGAGCTTAGCAGGCTATTCATTTCCAGGAGCGAGGGTCTGCAGCTGTCCCAGGGTCTTTCTCCTGAGTCTGGGGGAGGAATCTTGGGTTGTGAGCTTGGCTCCATTCCTCAAACCCCTTGTACTTCAGTGCAGCAGGGTGGAGGACACAGAGGGCTCTGCAGCTGGCCCCATAGACCTGTCAGTTTCCCCAGTTCTGCCTCTTTCAGGCTGGGTCACTGTGGGCAAGTTCCCTTTTCTCTCTGAGCCTGTATTTCTTTTCTTTCTTTTTTTTTGTTACTTAGTTTTTATTTCATAATCATAAACTTAACTCTGCAATCCAGCTAGGCATGGGAGAGAACAAGGAAAACATGGAACCCAAAGGGAACTGCAGCGAGAGCACAAAGATTCTAGGATACTGCGAGCAAATGGGGTGGAGGGGTGCTCTCCTGAGCTACAGAAGGAATGGTCTGGTGGTTAAGATAAAACACAAGTCAAACTTATTCGAGTTGTCCACAGTCAGCAATGGTGATCTTCTTGCTGGTCTTGCCATTCCTGGACCCAAAGCGCTCCATGGCCTCCACAATATTCATGCCTTCTTTCACTTTGCCAAAGACCACATGCTTGCCATCCAACCACTCAGTCTTGGCAGTGCAGATGAAAAACTGGGAACCATTTGTGTTGGGTCCAGCATTTGCCATGGACAAGATGCCAGGACCTGTATGCTTTAGGATGAAGTTCTCATCTTCAAATTTCTCCCCATAGATGGACTTGCCACCAGTGCCATTATGGCGTGTGAAGTCACCACCCTGACACATAAACCCTGGAATAATTCTGTGAAAGCAGGAACCCTTATAACCAAATCCTTTCTCTCCAGTGCTCAGAGCACGAAAATTTTCTGCTGTCTTTGGAACCTTGTCTGCAAACAGCTCGAAGGAGACGCGGCCCAAGGGCTCGCCGTCGACGGCAATGTCGAAGAACACGGTAGGGTTGACCATGGCTAGTAGTACAGGACTTTCCTCGGCGGCAGCGTCTGCAAAGCCGAGCCTGTATTTCTTCATCTGCAAAATGAGGGGGATAATAATCTACCTCGTGTGGGAATGATGAGGATTCAATGGCATAAAGCCCCTGACATGAATGGATGGATGGCAATCCTTCTAGCAAGATCTCTTTGGGAAAGAAAATGCTGGTCTGACCCCTAACACTTCCCTCAGGGTTTTCACACCCCTGTGAGGTTCTCTCAGAGTATGAGTAATGCATCCCCCTCCCTCTTTGACCTGAATGTGGGCAAAGAAAACCCCAAAGCCCTTCAATTCCATCTCCAGACTCTGCTAAAACTTATGGAGAAGCCACAAGGGAAATAATCAAGAAAAAGCAGAAGCTCCCACCTGATCGTATTTACAAGGTTCTTGCCTCTGACCCTCTTGGGAGGCCCTGTTCCATCTTTCCCTCAACAAGGGGCTGCCCCTAGAGACCCTCTACCTGCTGGCCCTGTGCCCCTTCCTGTCTCCTCCCTCTTCAGCAGAGCCAGGGTCAGGTGCCTCAGGCAGGAAAAAGCCCAAAGCAGCCCTTCCCAGGGTTGCCAGAAGGCAGTAGCATGGGGGCTGTGGCTGGTACAGGCGCTCTCAGCATCCTTGGACCCCAACTCCTCTTCTGGAGTTAGGTGGGGTGAGACCCAGGCCCCAGGCCACAGAGCCAGGAGGCCGGACGTGGAGGCGGCCAGTGGCACCCACCATCCGTCCATCCGTGTGTCTCCATGACTTTTCCCTTACTCCCCTCCGCTACCTTTGGCCCTGTTGAGCTTCCTGACACAGCAACAGCTGCTTCCTAAGCCACAGCCCAAAGTCCCATTTCCACCCCAGACCATCCTTGGGGGATCAGGCCTGAGTCTTTTGTCCTCACTGGCGCCAGGAAAGAAGGCAGTGGTAGCCCTGCTTTCCTGCCCTTGTGTTTAAAGGAATGGAGTGGAGGCATCTCAGTAAACAGCGGAGGGAGGAGGGGCCAGAGGCTTCTGTTTCCTGAAGTGCAATGCTGCAGCCCCCTCCATTGGAGTGCTGGCCTCGGAGGGCACAGTCTCTTCTTGCAGCAGTAGCCTTGGGGCAGGTTCCCCGCTCCAGATAATGGGCACAGGGACCCTTATTCTCTTGCCCCTGGTCCCCAGAGCACCACCCTCAGCCTGGGTCCTAGGACAGCCATGTCACCTTGGTCTCAGAGCCAAGGAAGGCTCAGAGAAAACATCAGGGAGTTCTGGAAAGAGAAGAGCAGGGAGTCAAGAAATCTGGGTCCTGTTTTCTATTGGGGCCACCACCTGCTGTGTGACCATGGGCAAGACCTTTACCCTCTCTGGGCCTCAGTTTCATCTTTTGTAAAAGCACACTAGAGTCTGTAGCACTGCCAGAGTCCCTGGACCACACCCCTGGAGGGTTCAGCGGGGGCTGGGGCCCTGGAGAGTGCATCTCTAACAGCTCCCTGATCCCTGGGCATTCTGAAAGGGGATTTGCTTTAATCTGAGAGAAAGGTTGGGCTAGAGATCTCAAAGGCTTCCTCTGGATCTAGCTCCGATGTTCTGTAATTATAAAAGGAGGCATGGAAAGAAGGCGCCTGGAGAAGATGCTCACATGGCTCCTGGTGCCCACCCTGCCTGGCACCTGGCGGGAAATCAGGTTCCCACCTGTGAGTCCCCCACGGGCACTCTGTCCGGCTCACACCCTGAAGGACTGGTCTTGGGGCTCACAGAGGTTCCTCCAAGGTGGGGAGCAAGTGCTGCCTCCAGGTCAGGCATGCAGGCCCAGGTAGGAAGTTACAGAAGCAGAGCCCAGAAATCTTGACTTGCAGCCCCAAGGGGATCTGAGCTTGGGCTTCCCTACGCCTCTGTCCTTACCAAGTGTGAGAGGTAGACCTTCTCGTTCCTCTGTGTCTCCATGTCCTGTCGAGCTGAAAGAGATGTAGAAGCAGGAGCTCCTTGAAGCCAGGTGTAGCCGAGAATGGCCTGGAGCTCGGCCCAGAAAGGCGTACTGGCCCCCTTGCATAAGGGAGCAGGGGCCTCCCAGAGGCAGGAGGCAGCCAGATGGGCCGAAGAGCCCCTTCCAGCTCAGCCCCTTGGGAATGACCCAGTCTTCTGAGATCAGTGCATGGAGATGATCTCATGAGGGTCAGAAACTGGCTGGGAAAATAAATCTGTGTGCTAAGGTCACTGCTACTTAAGCCTTAGTGTGCACATAGGACACCGTGGACATTTTCATACAGTGCAGAGTCTAATCCAGTAGGCTGAGGTGAGAGTCTCAGGGTCTGTATTTCTAACAGGCTACCAAGGGTTGCCACCGCTGCTAGCTGGCAATCAAAGTTTGGGAGGCAAGGTGCTAAGTGGCTCTGAGGTTGTGACCAGGAATGCTCCCACCCTGGATTCCTCAGAGGGGACCTGGACAAAGCCCACATTTCCTCCTAGGAGCCACATGGAAGAGACGGAAAGCGGGCCCAGGATTCCCCCATGGCCACCTCCACGGGGACGACATTGTGATTATCTTCCTGGCTTCACCACTTCCTAGCTATGCAAACAAAGGGCAAACTGCTTAACCACTCTGTGCCTCAGTTTTTCCCTCTGGAAAATGGGTGTACTCCACAGTGTGGAGGAGATTAAAGGGGATAAGCAAGATAAGCTGGGGATAGTGCCTGGCACATGGTAGCTCTTATTACTGAGATTTTGGTTAATCCTTTTAGTCTTTGCCATCCAGCACAGCAGCCAGAAGCCACACATGGCCATCAGGCACTGAAATGTGACTATTTTACATTAGACTGGGTTTTGATGGCTCAATATGAAAAACATGAAAGTAGAATATGTATCATTGATATTTTCATATTGATTCCGTATCAAAATGAGAATGTTTTGGATTGGGTTAAATAAAGTACATTATTAAAATCAACTTCACTAGATTGGGCGTAGTGGCTCATGCCTGTAGTTCTAGTTACTCGGGAGGCTGAGGCAGGAGGATCGCTTGAGCCCTGGAGTTCAAGGCTGCAGTGAGCCATGATCACACCACTGCACTCCAGCCTGGGCGACAGAGTGTGACACTATCTCTAAAAAAATAAGTAATTAAAATAAAATAAAATACATTTAACTGCACTCATTTCTTTTTACTCTTTTTCATGTGGCTATTCAAAAGTTTTAAATGACATTTGTGACTTGTATTCTATTTCTGTTTGATGTATATCTGTGATTTGAGATAAATGAGGCTTAGGGCAGTTAGATGACTTGCCTGAGCTCACACAGCTGAAAAGTGGCAGAGCTGGGATTTGAGCCCCAGTCTATGGAAGGGACTGAGCAGCTCTAGAGACCCAGTGGCAGGAGTGGGGTTACAATGTCTGTCCTGCTCAAGTTCAAGTGCTTGGTCCTGCATTGCCCCTGGCAGTTGGTTCCCACACAAGGAGCTGGCCATGAATTCCCTGGGATCAACAGCTAGAGAAGTGTTTGATCAGTTCGGACAGGCAAGAAGCTGAGAACCCTTCATTCTCCCATTTCCCCTTGTGAATTGCTTTCCTAATGTTGATTACCTCGTAGCTCCTTCAGAAGGGAGGCCACAGCTCCTGATGCCCACATTTCAGACAGACACGCTGAGACCCACAGGGTCTTTCCGGGGCTAGACGGGGACCTGCAGGTCTCAGCGAGGTCCCTGGTCCAATGAGCCTCCCACCTTCCTGCCACCCACCTTTGCTCACCTTCCTTTCTCCACAGGAGCAGGTGGCTGCTGAAGGCGATCAGGCCTGCGGCTGACAGAAGGCTCAGCAGCACCAGGACTGGGGCCAGTATGCGGACCATTGGGATGGACACCCTGGAGATGAGACACAAGGAGCCTAGTGGCTGTTACCAGATAAGCCAGAGTCTATGTCCTTTGGGGGTACCAAGTACAGGCTGAGAAAGCCAATCCCTAGTGTGGAATTCAATTCAATGCAGCAAAGACTTGTGGGGGGTGTGGTGCGGGAGGGCGATATTTAGTGCTATTGGCTCTTGACAATCATTATTTAATTAGTGCAGACCCTGAAGCCAGGCTGTCTGGATTCAAACTCTAGCTCCACCACCTTCCTATACCTTGGGTAAGTGACTGAACCGCCCAGGGTGTCAATTTCCTCCTTTGTAAAATGGCTGTGGTGAGGATCAAATGGGTCAGGATGTGAAAAGCACATAGTTCAGTGCCAGACACATGCCAGGTACCATGTCAGTGTTAGTTGTTAAATTCCACAATCCCTGTGTAACTAGGTAGGAGTGGCTCAATTTCACACTGGAGAAACTGACACCTGAAGCAATGAGCGACTTGCCAGGTCACGCAGTGGTGTGCGGGGAAGTTCTCAGTGGCCTTTATCTGGGCTGGTGTCACTGGCACAGGCAAGTGGGGCATCCTGGCATTCTTACTGTGAGTCAAGCCATGTCCTTTATCTCTCCCAAGGAGATCAGAGGGCACTAGGGACCACGATGTCCCATCAGCCCTGTCTGGCGTGGGAGGGATGCCTGCTCCCGTTGCCAACCCCAGGATTCACTTTCAGCAGGATCTGAACCTGCCAGCAGCTGCCTGGATGTTGGTAGCCAAGTGCATTTACAACCCCCAAGAACCAATCCTTCAGGCTGGGACTCCAGTTGTAAGGAAAAAAATTGTTTTGTTTTGGATTCTGAGTTTTCATGCTTGGCACAGGGCTTAGTGCAAAGTATATAGGCAAAAGCCCCCGAACTGGGGGGGCCATCCCTGAGGCTGGGGCAGGGAGAGAGGTGGGGACTGCGACCCTGGTGGACCCTTCGCCTTGGACAGGCAGCAGAGCTGCTGGCTCCTACAGTGCAAGCTGTCTACTGCTCAAGGGTCCCCGTGAGGGACCCTCTGTGCTGCAGGCTGTGGCCATGACACGAAGATGTGTCTGCTTAGAGGAAAGACCACTGGGTTCCTATTTGCTCAAAGGCAGCTTATGGTTTAGTGATGGCCTGAAAGGTGATGTTGGTCACCTGGGGCTCACCTGGGCTTAGAGCTGCCGCTGCTGAGAGCTGGACTGGCATCCTCTGCTGAGGTGGAGTCCAGCTGCTTCGGGGGGCGGGAGCTCCCTGCAGGAGGAGAGGTCGCTGCATGAGGAGAGGTTGCTGCGTACTGAGAAGTTCTTTCGTGCCCGTACCGGGAAGTCCCTGGGAATGGAGTGGCCTCAGCCCCTGTCTTCCCCTGCTTGGTTGTGGTTCCTGCTGGGTAGAGCCCAGGAGAAGCTACAAGTCCAAAAGCAATGCCTCAGCATCCTTCCTGACCCTTGCATCCCAGCATCCCAGACCTCTGATCCTTGACCCCTGAACCCTAGCCTCTCTGGGACCCATTTCTCAAAACATCCCCAGCTAAAGGATACCCCAGTAAGCAAACAGATGTAGATGAAGCCATTCTGAGGAAGCAGACCGTAGATCAGACACACCCCACAGCTGCGTGTGATGTTCAGTCTCTTTCTGTGCCCACAGCCTGTTCCCTCTGTGGGGAGGTATAAGCACTCCCCTTCCTCGCTTCCATGACCCTTTCCAGTGACCATTCAGTGGCCACTTTCCTGCCCTCCCTCTACAGTCACAGTCAATTGTCACCTCCTTCCTCACCAGAAGGGCAGGTCCTCCCTCACCACCATGTGCCCCCTCCCCACCACCCGTGCCTCAGTAAGGCCTTGACTTCCTTCTGCAGCCATGAGACCAAGAAGGGCAGGGTGGCAGGGATGAGTCCAGAGGTCAGGGCCCAACGCCCGGCCTTTCTGGCTTGCCCCCAAGACTCTGGATGGCACAGACAGAACACGAGCTTTGGGGTCAGGCTGTGACCACTTCCAGGCTCTGGCGCTTCCTGTGTGACCCTAAGCGAGTGACCTAACCCTGCTGAGCCTGTACTTCCACAGCTGGACAACCCAGTTCCCAGGCTTGTGGGGACACCTAAGTGGTCATAAAGTATGGTGTCTGGTACCAGGCAGGCACTCACTGGCTGCTTCTGTAAGAAGGGTGGCAAGGGATGGGGCGGAATCGCCATTCACTCACTCAATCCTGGGGGCTGGGTTTGCTGAGTTTTTGCCTTGGGCTGCAGGCGTGTTGTAGCCAGAAGCTGGAAGGTGGGAGAAGGGGAGGGAGGACAGCAGGGTCCTAGAGGAAAGGGAGAGGCTGCTCTCAGGGGTGGCACTGCTCTGAACCCCTTTTCCTTCCTTGGGAGGAGCTGGCAGCTTTCCTACCCCCAACCTCAGCACAGAGCACTGCTGTCTTTCGCCTCAGCCAACCAGGAGCCACGTGGCGGGTTCCAGCAGATCCCTGGTCTTCTCCTTCTGCAGCCCCCTGGCCTCTCGCCCAGCTCAGACCCTCAGTTTCCCCTGTCCCCAGCTGCCTCTCAGCCTGCTTCTTCCCTGCCACCCTTCACATTATGCCAGTTTTGTCTCAAAAGTCTGTGTTGGATCCCATCCCTCTCTGCCTTAGAACAGTGAGTGGCTCTCCATTGCCTATAAGCCGAAGTTCAAACTTTTTTTTTTTTTTTTTGAGACAGAGTCTCGCTCCATCGCCCAGGCTGGAGTGCAGTAGCGGGATCTCAGCTCACTGCAAGCTCCGCCTCCTGGGCTCACGCCATTCTCCTGCCTCAGCCTCCCAAGTAGCTGGGACGACAGGCGCCCGCCGCCATGCCCAGCTAATTTTTTGTATTTTTAGTAGAGATGGGGTTTCACCGTGTTAGCCAGGATGGTCTCGATCTCCTGACCTGGTGATCTGCCCGAATCGGCCTCCCAAAGTGCTGAGATTACAGGTGTGAGCCGAAGTTCCAACTTTTTAGTATGCCTTTTGAGGCGTCTTAAACTCAGGCTTCAGGCTGGGTGTGGCAGCTCACACTTGGGCAATAAGAACAAAATTTTGTCTCCAAAAAAAAAAAGAAAAAAAAGCAAAGAACAAAACTCAGGCTTTGAACCACCTTGTCAACCTCGCCTCTTTCCCTGTTCAGTGCTCCAGCCATAGAGTTGTCCTCTATTCCCGACTAAGCCAGCCTCCCGCCCACCTCCGTGCCTTGGACATGCTGTTCCTCTGTGTACAATGGCTTTCGTTTCCATCTCTGCCTGAAGCACTTCTTTCTGTCCTTCAGCACAAGCTCAAGGTCAACTCCTCTGAAATGTCTTCCCCAGAAGCAGCGAATCTTTTTTCCTTTGTGCACTCACAGTCCCCTGTGCATGCCTCCAGTGGTGCTAATGCTCACTTACACTGCAATTTCTTGTGTACGGGGTCTCCCTGCTAGGCTGAGACTCCTTAAGGGCAAAATGCCTATCCTCTGTGCCCAGCACAGTGGGCAGAAGCCTGATACAACCAACCCCCCAGGAGCTACTCCGGTCCCCACTTCCCCAAGTCTGTCTGTCACCTCCCCAGTCCTTGCTGACTGTGTGCCATCCTGGACTCTCCCTCTTTGTCCACCACCTTCTCTTCTTCAGATTGAGTATCCCCTATCCAAAATGCTTGGGAGCAGAAGTGTTTCAGATTTCGGAATATTTGCATTATATCTGCTGATTCAGCATCCCTAATCTGGAAATCTGAAATCCAAAATGCCCCAGTGAGCATTTCCTTTGTGTGTGTGATGCTGGCACACAAAAAGTTTCGGACTTTGGAGTATTTTGCATTTTTGGATTAGGGATACTCAATATGTAACACTAGGTCAGTTTATTCTTGGATTTTTCTAAGTAGATAATAAAATCTTTTGCAAATGCAGAGGATTTATCTTTTCCTTTCCAACATATATACTTCTTCCTTTTTTTTTGAGACTGAGTCTTGCTGTCTACCAGCGAGTGCAGTGGCGCGATCTCGGCTCACTGCAACCTCCGCCTCCCGGGTTCAAGCAATTCTCTGCCTCAGCCTCCTGAGTAGCTGGGATGACAGGCGCCTGCCACTGTACCTGGCTAATTTTTGTATTTTTAGTAGAGACGGGGTTTCACCATTTTGGCCAGGCTGGTCTTGAACTCTTGATCTCATGATCCACCCACCTTGAGCTCCCAAAGTGTTGGGATTATAGGCGTGAGCCACCACGTCTGGCCTTATACTTCTTAATCTTGCATATTTCATTGCCTAGGGTCTTCAGACAAAGATGAATAAAAGAAAATGATAATAGGCTGGTCAGGTGCAGTGGCTCATACCAGCAATCTCAGTACTTTGAGAGGCCGAGGTGGGCAGATGGCTTGAGTCCAGGAGTTTGAGACCAGACAGGCCAATATGGCAAAACCACATCTTAAAAAAAACAAAAAACAAAATGTAGCTAGGCACAGTGGCTTGTGCCTGTGGCCCCAGCTACTCTGGAGGCTGAGGTGGGAGGATTACTTGAGCCTCGGAGGCAGAGGTTGTAATGAGCCAAGATTGTGTCACTGCACTCCAGTCTGGATGACAGAGTGAGACCCCATTTCAGAAGAATGAATGAATGAATGAATGAATGAATGAATGAATGAATAATAAATAAATAAAAAGAAAAGAAATGATAGTGGGTACATCTGTCTTTTTCTGACTTTCTTAGAAATTCTTCCCATGGTTCACCATATTCAATGGTGTGCTGGAGATGGCTCGCACTGGTTCACAAGAGCTCATTGTCAACTTTTCAGGAATTGGTGAGACCGTTGTTAAACTGTCGATGGCTGGAAATTGGCCATGGGAATTGGACCACAGAAATGGACACCATAGAAATTGGAAAACACGACAAAATGAGAGCATCAGCATCCCCAGCCTGCTCAACATTTACCAGCACACCACTGTCGTGAGTCTTCTTCATTTTCATTATCCCAACTGCCATCAGAGAGAGGCCAACAAAGTCTGATACAGGAGGATAATATAGCAATACACATATCATATGCAAATAAAGAATTACAAATGAGGGTAAGTCTAAAACACAGGTGAACTTGCTCATAACTTGCAGAAATGACATATGAACACTGATAAGAATTGGAAGAGATAAGAGAATCTTGTAAATAATGAAGAACAGATTCAACGTAGTTTGATGCTACTGCTTTTTGGCAAGTTTACTTTTATTTCCCCAAATTAAAGATCCATGGATAAGGGAATAAAAAAAAATTAGGGGATATGGTGGTAGGGATGGGCCTGGGATTGGGATAGGTCCCAGCTATGGGGCTAGAAGAGGAATAAAGCAGACATCAAAGCTGGAAATGACTTGTGTTTTAATCCTGGTTCCACCACTTCCTGCTGTGAGATCTTGGGCAAATCACTTAGTCTCTTGGACTCTCAGTCCCTCATCTGTGAAATGGGGATACAAAGACATACTTCGCCCTCACTGGCCAGCAGACCAAGGCTCCCACTCCCCTGGGCCCTCTCTGGCTTCTTTCTCCTTAGCTCATCAGGTCCAGGGTTCTGGGCTCCCAGAGAGGTGTTCTATCCTCTACCAGTTCCCACAGCTCCAGCCTTGGTCCCCTAGTGTCCCTGCATTTAACGATCTCTCCTTCAGGCACACTACCCAGAGGCTGGTTCCCAGGCACTCTAGCACCTGTGGCTAGACTTCAATATCTGGGGAGGTGGAGGCCAGGAGGGCAGAGGTGAGGGCACATGCAGGGTGAGGCTAGCATGACCAGGGCTGAGGTGACGCTGTGGGCTGGGTCTGGAATGCAGCAATTGTTGGCCCAGCCTCGGGAGGCCTCAGGAATATCTCTGACACCAGGTGAGGAGTCTTCTTTATCCCCTGATATGTCTATCTTGTACCCAGCCTATGGAAATCTCCTTCCAGCACATCTGGGCAGAAAGGAAAGGCACCGAGTCCAGCCCTGGACAGATCTGGGTCCAGTCCTGCTCTGACATCCACTAGTGGTGTGACCGTGGGCAGCAAGAGTGAAAGAATGGCCAAGACTCATGCAGCTCCCTCTGTGCCCCAAGCCTTGCTCAGCGCTTGACCTGCATGATCTCCCTAAGGACTCAGTGCCCATAAGATTTGCACCAGGATTATGCCCCACTGCCCCTCCCGCTTCCCTCTGCAGCTCCTGTCCCTAGCCTGGGAAAGGAGAGATATTTGTTACCTGGAAAGATGAACAGAGATATCAGTAAAGACTCATCGGGGCCCCGTTTTTCGACCCCACACCAGTACTTCCCAGCGTCTTGCAGGGTGAGGTTCCACAGTGTCACAATTAGCGAGAGCTCCTGGTGGCTGTCACGGATGGACACCCTGCCCTCCGTCGTCTCCTGGCCTTCTTTTCCCGCATAGATGGTGCCAGAGCAGCGAGGGAAGAGGAGCCCACCCTTCCTGCACCAGTACTTCCGGTGGTCCCTCAGCTCTTCCCTATAGGTGCACCGCAGGGACACAGTGTCCCCTTCGAACCCACTGATTTCCTTCGGGCCCTCCAGGGCTTCATAACCTAAAATCAGAGCAGGAGTGGAGGTTGGAATAACCAGGCTCCATGTACCAAGGTCAAGGCCAGAGCTACCATTTTAGGAGGAGGAAGGAAGGCTTTTCTCAGTCATCCCTTCTGGGGACAGCCTTGGAAGAGCCATTACTTCCTTCCTACTCTGGGCGAACTTGGGGCAGGGCTGTTGCTGTTTCCCTAACCCTGGCCCATTGAGGAATTGGGGCTGGGGGAGTGTTCTAGGTTCAGATGGAATTTGACAGTCAGATAGCCAGCAGGGTTTCTGGGTGTTTTGTTTTGTTTTGTTTTGTTTGTTTTTGAGATGGAGTCTCGCTCTGTTGCCCAGGCTGGAGTGCAGTGGCATGATGTCTGCTCACTGAAACCTCTACCTCCCGGGTTCAAGCGATTCTCCTGCCTCAGCCTCCTGAGTAGCTGGGACTACAGCCATGTGCTACCATGCCCGGGTAATTTTTTGTATTTTTAGTAGAGACAGGGTTTCACTGTGTTGGCCAGGATGGTCTTGATCTCCTGACCTCGTGATTCACCCGCCTCAGCCTCCCAAAGTTCTGGGATTACAGGCATGAGCCACCGCGTCTGGCTTTGTTTTGTTTTTATACAGGATCTCACTCTGTTGCTCAGGCTGGAGGGCACTGGTGCTCATGGCTCACTGTAGCCTTGACCTCTGGGGCTCAAGCGATCCTCCCACCTTAGCCTCCCACTAGCTAGGACTGCAGGTGTGCACCACCATGCCTGGCTAATTTGTTTGTTTGTTTGTTTGTAGAGATGGGGTCTCACCATTGCCAAATGAACAACTGACATCAGTTGTAGGATGCATCCTGATTTTAAGCGTTAGAAGGTAAAGAAAAAGAAAGCAAAAGAATTGACGAAACGTGATAATAATTCATCTCTCAGGGTTGTGGGGAGAGGCACAGCCGAGATTCAACAAATGTATGCTGAGTTTAACAGAGCAACCAGACGGGGTGTCTTGTCTGCCTCCAGGATTGGCAGAGGGTAGAAAAATTAAGATTAGAGAGGCAAAGCAACTCTCACAGCCACAATGCCATGAGGGGAAACCCACAGGTCTGAGAGAAAACCTGGCTCTAGGTTCCAGAAACTGCAAGTGGGGCCCGGCGCCGTCCCCACCTCACCCCACCCCCACCCCGCCCGGCTCCCCTAGGGTTGAGGAGGCTGAGGATAGGTGGGGTGGGCTATCAGGCAGTCAGGAGGTCCTTCCCCTGCAGACTCCAAGGGTGAGCCCCACATCCCTCCCAAGACCCCCTCCCCATCTCACCTGGGAGCACCAGGCAACCCCATAGCAGGACCAGAAGCCGCATTCTGGGCGCTGGACACCGCCGGAGCAGACGCTGGGAACTGTGAGCTCCTCTTCAGCCACGCGGGTCTTTAACTTCCTCCAGTCGCGCGAAACCAGGCCAAGGAAGCGAGGGGAGGGGCGTGAACCAGGCCCAGCCGGAGAGGCGCCTCTGCCTTCCCTTTTCTGAGCGCCCATGCGTGCCTACCCCTCGGCTCACCTCCCAGGACTGAAAACCCACACTGGCGCTTCTCTCAAACTCTTGCCCCTTCAAGGGGGCCTTAACCTGTGGTCCGTGCGCCCTAAGGGGTCTGTAAGTCGAATTCGCATGGGAAAAAGTTACATATTGACTTTCATCAACTTCTAATATTTAGCTTTTCCTCGTATTAACAGTGTACTGTTAGCAGTACCTGTAACTTTGTTACCAATTACAATCACAGACACTGGCACATCAGGTTGTGGATATCTGGAAACCTCGTGTGTACTCCTCACTGTTTAGAAAATAATGAGTTCCGAGACCTGCCTCTAGAGCTGGTTATTAACCATAATGAAACGGCTATTATATTACACATTTATAAAGAGTTTTGAGCATCATCTCACCAGTATTAGTTTTCTTTTCAGCATATATATTTTATTTATATATTTACGCGCCATTATACTGAGAGAGGGGTCCATAAACTTCAGCAGACTGCCATGTGGTCAGTGGTACAGAAAGAAGCTTGTCCCTGGGGCAAGGCCCTGGGCCCCTCCTCCGCCATCGCCTTTTGGAGGGCGCAGTACTGCCCTTGGCCACGGGGCGGCGGTGCAGACGGGGCTGAGCAAAGCCGTAGGGCTGAGCTTAGGCGAATTCCCTTGAGCCTTGGGCCGGCGGGGCTGCAAGATAGGTCTCCCCCATGCCTGCGGAGTTGTTTTGGCGTTTGAAAAAGTGAATTGGTGGTTTCTCCATCGCGGACTTGAATCCTCCTTGAAAGGACCAAAACAAACGTGCAAACTATTGGGAGCCCAGACACACTGGCTTGAAAAATGACTTTTTTTTTTTGGTCTGTTTGCAAAGTTCATACAGATTGTAAGCAAAATTTTACACAATACAGAACGTAAAAAGGAAAGAAAGAAAAAAAGGAGTGTTTCTTGTAATTCCCCTTCTGCTTTAGAAAAGCACCATTAATATTTTGGCATATATCATTCCAAATGTTCAGTTGGAATTTTACTCACTTGTCAGGTTAATATTTGAAGCATTAATTCAGTGGTTCTGGGAGGGGAGATTGTGTGTGTGTGTGTGAGTCTAGTAACGTGGGGAGAAGTGTTTTAATTTCACAATGACTGCGAAGCACTGCTGCCATTTCTGGGCAGGGACAGCTGTTCACGTTGGTGAAAACTCTGTTACCATGATCTCAGCCCCTGCCTCCCTTTTACATGTACAGGCTACAAAATGTGATCTGTTTTTGCAGTTAAAAAAAAACACATATTAAAAAATATTTGGCCAGGTGCCACGGCTCACGCCTGTAATCCCAGCACTTTGGGAGGCCGAGGCGGGCGGATCACGAGATCAGTAGTTCAAGACCATCCTGGCCAATAGGGAGAAACCCGGTCTCTACTTAAAAAAATACAAAAATTAGCTGGGCATGGTGGCACGTGCCTGTAATCCCAGCTACTCTGGAGACTGAGGCAGGAGAATTGCTTGAACCAGGACCCAGAAGGCAGAGGTTGCAGTGAGTCGAGATGGTGCCACTGCTCTCCAGCCTGGGCTACAGAGTAAGACTCTGTCTCAAAAAAATAAATTAAAAAAATAATTATGGCCCAGCACGGTGGCTCACGCCTGTCATCCCAGCACTTTGGGAGGCCGAGGTGGACGGATCACCTGAAGTCGGGAGTTCGAGACCAACCTGACCAACGTGGAGAAACCCAGTCTCTAATAAAAATATAAAATTAGCCAGGCGTGGTGGCACATGCCTATAATCCCAGCTACTCAGGGAGGCTGAGGCAGGAGAATCGCTTGAACTCAGAAGGTGGAGCTTGCAGTGAGCTGAGATCACGCCATTGCACTCCAGCCTGGACAACAAGAGTGAAACTCTGTCTAAAAAAAGAAAAAAAATTATTTGTTTATTTATTTACTTATTTTGAGACGGGTCTCACTCTTGTTGCCCAAACTGGAGTGCGGTGGCATCATCACAGCTCACTGCAGCCTCAAACTCCCAGACTCAAGTGATGCTCCCACCTCAGCCTCCCAGGTAGCTGGCACTACAGGCGTACACCACCATGCCTGGCTAATTTTTTATTTTTAGTAGAGACAGGGCCTTGTTAGGTTGTCCAGGCTTGTCTCAAACTCCTGGTTTCAAGCAATCCTCCCACGGTGGCCTCCCAAAGTGCTGGGATTACAGGCACAAGCCACCATGCCTGGCCTTAAAATAATATTTATTCTAACATTTGATAGCATATCTTTGCTCTTTTATTTATTTATTTTTGTCCTTACACAGAATAATTTCTGATCCTCTACGTTTCTTAAATTCAGACTTATTTATTATATGCAAGATAAGTATCTGACACTTCATTACACTTTCTAGGGTCATGGGACCTGAGCACTGACAGATTGAAATATGTGTCATTTGGTTATAAATCGCTTTCCTTTTATTTTTTTCTCCCTAGTATAGCTCAGGCACTAGAGTGTGATTTTAAAAAAGTAAGTGCATGAGAAGGCATATTATTTACGATTGTCATTTTAAGAGAGTAAGTGAGGTGTTACCAAATGTTTATCTATATAAAGAGGGTGTTGAGTGGGTCCCTACCCTCTTCCTGCATATTTGAAGGTCCTACCCCTTCACTTCCCAGCCCCACACCTAGCTCAGGAGGCTGGCTCAAGAACTCCATTAGAAACAGATCCACCAGGCTGGGAAGTGGAGCAAGGGCTGGGGAGAAGGGTGAAAGTGAGGTGCTGGCATGAGCCTTGCACCTAGTTCTACCCTTAGGCCACACTCTGGGGTAGAAGGGGCCGACAGGCAGACCGCCGTGGTGGGCTGGGGATCTGAGGAGAGAGGACACTTTCGTCCTGCTTCCCACCAGAAGCACGGGGAGGTGCCCCACCATCACTGCATCTGGGAGAGGCAACGGGGCACAAGGGCTCCTGGACAGATCACTGGGCTCGTGGCAGCCTCATCGCATCCTCAGGAAGGGCTCTGTGTGCCGAAGAGGTGCAATTGCAGGGATGAGGGGACTGAGCTGCTTGATCTTCGATGGCCACCCTGGTCCAATTCCTTTCGGTTTGGACTTGGACTAAATCACTTCAGCTGCTCCAGGAGGGTCACTTGCTTCTCTTAGATCAAGGTTTCCCCAACCTCAGTACTATTGACATCTTGGGTTAGATAATTCTTTGTTGTGGGAGACTGTCCTGTGAATTATAGGATGTTTAGCAGCATCTCCAGCTGTACCCCCTAGATGCCAGTAGTCCCTCCCCAGTTGTGATGATCAAAAATGTCTCCAGGCTGGGTGAGGTGGCTCACGCTTATAATCCCAGCACTTTGGGAGGCCAAGGTGAGTGGATCGCTTGAGCCCAGGAGTTTGAGACCAGCCTGGGCAACATGACAAAACCCCATCTCTGCAAAAAATACAGAAAATTAGCCAGGCATGGCAGTGTGCACCTGTGGTCCCAGCTACTCAGGAGGCTGAGGTGACAGAATCACCTGGGCCTGGGAGGTCAAGGCTGCAGGGAGTCAAGATCCCACCACTGCACCCCAGCCTGGGCGATGGGAGTGAGACCTTGTCTCAAAAAAAAAAAAAAAAAAGCCTCTGGGCATTGTCAAACATTCCACTGGGAGGTAAAAATATCCTGGGTTAGAACTGCTGTCTTAGATGTTGAATAAGTCTATGGACAAGTAAGTGTACTTTTGCGTAAGTTATGTTTATTGTTTATGTAGGTCGGGGTGTTCCATCTTTTGGCTTCCCTGGGCCACAATGGAAGAAGAAGAATTGTCTTGGACCACACATGAAATACAGAAACACTAATGATTGTTTTGGGCAGCATTTAAAGCCATCCTGCGCTGCATGCAGCCCGTAGGCCACGGGGGGATAAGCTTGATGTAGGCGTAGTAACAAGGTTTTGGAAACAGGACAGTGGGCAGAACCTAATGCTGAACCCCAGAATTAGGTAAAACTGCATCCCTCTTCCCTCAGTGGAGCTGGGGCCATGCCTGTAATACTCAGGGTGAGGTGTGGTGTAGCAATTTAGAATACATACTTTTTGCAGGTGGGCCAGCTCCCCAGAGAAAAGGAATCAGAGGACTGAATTACACACGCCTTGTTCCTCCTTCAACATTCGTCAATCAAATCAGCAGAGGCATGGAGAGGCATAGAGAGAGGCGTGGAGAGAGTCCTAGAGTTTTGGGCCAGTGGGGTTCTCTGCTCGTGGAAGGAAACATCAGCAGTGGGGAAGATGTGTCCCAGCAAAGATAAATGAGCCACAAGACGGGAAAATTTGGATTCCTGAGCTACCACTTGGAAGACAACTGCCCTGGACAGCCACCAAGCGTGCGGCAGACTTGGAGTGAGCAAGCGACAGACTTTTCTGTGTTTAGCCACTGAGATCTTGCAGTTTGCTCGTTGCTGTAGCACAGTGTAGACCACCACCATGCTTTTTGTTTTCTGTCACACATTCATCCTCTAGTCTCCCCTCAGCTTCCCTACCCTAGCTGGTTGCAAACTCGATTTTTCAACTTTCTCTGTCAAACAAATCTGAAAACTCCCTTTCTTTTTTTTTTCTTTTTTTCTTTTTTTTTTTTTTTTTTTTTGAGACAGCAGGATCTCACTCTGTCACCTAGGCTGGAGCGCAATGGCGCGATCTCGGCTCACTGCAACCTCCACCTCCTGGGTCCAAGGGATTCTTGTGCCTCAGCTTCCTGAGTAGCTGGGATTACAGGCATGCACCACCATGCCAGCTCATTTTCTTGTATTTTTAGTAGAGACAGGGCTTCACCACGTTGACCAAGCTGGTCTCAAACTCCTGACCTCAAATGATCTGCCTGCTTCGGTCTCCCAAAGTGCTGGGATTACAGGTGTGAGCCACCGCACCCGGCCCCTTTCAAATTTTTTATGTTGACCAATTACTTCTGGGAATGGT